AATGGGAGTCTGCAAATCCTGCACCTTTAACGCAGCACACTGACCAGTGGATCCAAGAGGAAAAGCTGTATTGGCTTTTGGTGACTGCTGGAAATTGAGGCCCAGGATCCTGTGAAGCTGCCAGGGCTGCCTGGCTTCATGGGAAGAGATTGTGAGAAGCTCTGGAGGTTGTGAGAAGCTCTGGAGCTCAGAAGCCAGACACTGTGTAGTTTTCTGACCATTCCACGCTGTGTTGGGAATGCAGTGAAGGCAAGCGGCGCAGTGTGTAGTAGACTCAAGAGGAAGACCTACATTTAGTCCTGGTGAGTACTAGGGACTGGATGCCGTGGCTCCTGTGGCTGGCTGGAGGACATCTTGGAGGTGGGCAGAGCCCACGGCTCAGTGACATCAGATAGTCGCCTCTGGTGTAGAGAGATCTGGTGGAGGACATCTTGAAATTGGGCAGACCCAGTGCCACTGTGACATTACATAGTCGCTCCTGACACAGAAAGGTCTGGTAGAGGACAGATGGGATTTGGGCAGAGCCCTGTGCCACAGTAACATAAGTCAGCTGCTTCTGGCACAGAGAGAACTGGCAGGATCTGCTGGGCCTGAACCAAGCGACTGGTTGGGACCCAATAAGCAGATACAAAATAGTCGCAACTCTGTGACATCTACAAAGTACAGCCTAACTTGCAGATTGACTGGCACAGAGGCTGAAGGCTAGCCTACACCATCCTGCATTGCTGCCTACCCCAGATAACAGCAAATAGGGGAGGACAGCAAAAACTCAAGGCAGCATGCTTCTGAAAGGCCCTAAGCAATTCGGAGAGGGCCAGAGACCTCCACGACACTCCAGTCTGAAAGAAACCAGAAACATGACAAGAGGCAGAAATAAAAAAAACTCCAGCTGCCCAACATGAGAAAATAAGCCCAGGAGAAGTAAACACAGAAAAGAACAAGCACAGTAACCATCCAATACTGGACATAGCATCAGCCAAAATAAAAAAATATACCTCCATGACCTCATAGATGAATTTAAAGATGTACTCCTGATCCAAGTGAGGCAAGATATGAAGAGATTAATTAAAAAAATGATAAGCCCCACCCTAGAGAGCACAGATGCAAGAACGGAGGAAATCAAAAAAGAAAGAAAAACTTCTGAAGAAGAATTTAAACATAACTTAGAATACATGAAACAGATCCAAAGAGATTACCAGGAAACTAAAAACCCCATTGAACACTGGCAAAATGCCTTGGCAGAAAGTAAAGTTAGCCTTTTGAAACTTGAAGAGAGATATATGATATATGATCGTGAAAGAAAAGACCTCTTAAAAATAACAAGGAATCAGAAAGAAACAATTCAAAGGCTAGAAGATGACAAAAGGATACATAACTTAAGAATAAAGCATGTGAGTGGGGAAGCAGGAGCAACCAAAAATGAAATACAAAGAATATTCACAGATATATTAAAGGAAAATTTCCCATGTATAGCAAAAAGAAATGATATCCAGATAAAAGAGGCATACAGAACACCAGTATCTACAACCAAAACAGATCTACACCCAGACATACAATAATAATAATCAAGATTCCAGAAATCCACCAAAAGAACTGAATATTAAAAGCAGTCAGGGAAAAGAAGCAGATTACCTACAATGGGAAAATTACCAAAATAACAACAGACTTATCAACACAAACTCTTAAATTGAGAAGGGAATGGGGAGAAATATTCCAAGTCCTGAAAGAAAATAATTTGCAACCAAGACTCATATACCCATCAAAACTCTCTCTCAAAATTAATGGAGAAATAAGATGCTTCCAAGACAAGGAGGAACTGTGGGAGTTCGTGGCCACCAAACCAACCCTACAGAGAGTGCTGAAGGACATTCCAGAGAAAGAGAGGAAGGGACACCAGGATTCCAGCAGCAGTGACAGAGAGGCCTCAATGAACGGGCAGACTGGAATGAGGGAGCAAGGTGGACAAATTATAGCAGTAAAGTGGAGTAGCAGACATGAGGCAGAAATGGTAAGCTATAATCTTTAGTATAGATAGCTTTGATACACTATAAAAAAGGCAGAGGTCATTGTTAATAGTGTATCAGGATTTATAAGACACAGTAGTCCTGTTTAGTTTGAATTTAATTTGTTCTGGTCTGTCCACTCATATCAGATTTGAGGGCACAGACATCTGATCCCAAAATAGCAGGTTATACCATGGTAACTATCCTTAATTTCCTATTAACTTAAACCAAAACCCTGTATTACTTACATTGTCTTACTATGACTGATCTTATTTGAATCCGATTCATTAGACCACGGTTTTGTCTTGGCTGATTTTATTTGAATTTGGTATGCTTGATAGTATCAACCCTCAAAGTAGAGGCAACTACTCTGAAGATGACAAGATGTAAAAGATATCCATACCAGTATCGATTATTAACAGCTCTCAAGTCCTACAATGTATTCAAAGTTGTGTTTTTATAAATATGCTTAACTATATTAAGCCTGATGATGTGGACAAGTCTATTGAAAATAACAAGAGAAAGCTAGTAACTTCAGTATATCACCTAATATTGTGATCTTATGTGTCTTTTTCATTGCATATTTTTCTAGGAATTTGTTTTGCTGTCTTGTTATGGTTTGTTTTTCCCTATAATACAGAGGATAGATATACATATAGAAATTCACACATGAGAAGATTTTTAAAAAACTATTTATGGGAACAGATTATAGAATGCAAGATGTAATGAACAGATACTCTGAAGGAGAGCCACTGAGAAACCCAATGCTAATTCTGTAGCATTATGATATAAAATCTAGCAATACTATTATTCACTGATCAGAGTGATACTAGTCTAATCTCTTTAGTTCAATTTCAGCATATGTAAAGATAAGGACAGCTACTACAAAGAGAATGAGAGACACTATGGTATTTATTATTGTCTTCCCCAATGTCAGATCTTGAAGACCTAAAAAGCCTTCATCATCCTGTAATGATTTGATTAGTTCTATAATATGCAATATGTATTTAATGTGCATGAAGATGGGGACAACTATTTGGAAGAAACTAGAGACAATTAGATAAACAGTGAAGATCTCCAGTGGACTTGCTTTGAAATCTGTATTTCTTTAAATTGTTTTTTTTGAACTGTTTTGTTCTGTTTTTTTTTGTCTTTTTCTTTTTTTATCGGTACTGGGGATCGAACTCATGACTGCCTGCTTGCAAGGCAGGTGCTTATGCCGCTGAGCTAAATCCCAAGCCCCTGTTTTGTTCTGTTTTAATATGTTTAATCTTACCCTCTTTAAGATAAAAAACAAGTGTGTAGGACTGATAACCATATTACTAAGTTTTTGTTAGATCATTGAGCAGAACTGTTGGCAGTGTCAGTATTTGAATGTCATTTTACATACTTTAATTTTGTAACCTGAACAGATATTTCTAAGATGATAATATGTAACTTATCAACTGGTGATTTCTTACGATTTGTTTTTCTGTAATTCTGTATTATTTCTACCCTTTTTTATATTCATGTTTTTTTTTCTTTCTCTTTAAAAAAAGTTAGCTATCACAAATTGTGTTGCTGTGAACATGGGTGCACATATATATCTGTGAATGACCTTTTCAATATTTCTGGGAAAATGCCCAGGAGGGGAATAGCTGGGTTGAATGGAACCTCTAATACTACTTTTTTGAGGAATCTCCTTACTAATTTCCACAATGTTTCCACCAGCCCGCACTCGCACCAACAATGGAGAAGTATCCCCCCCCCATCCTTGCCAACATTTGTTATCAGTTGTTGTCTTGATGGCAGCCATTCTTTCCAGGGATTGAAAGAAGGTCACTGGGTGTGTCCCAGGCAGGCCTGAAACCTGCAGAGCCCCGTCTGTTGTGGCCTGAAGCTGGGGAGTCCTTGACCAGTGGGAGTGATGATCTTAAACTCTTGTGGGGCTTGGGATCATGTGCAGGAACTCACCTCCTCAGGCAGCCCAGTTCCCTCCTCTGGCAGCCTGGTTCCCAGGAAAGAAAGAAGGTCACTGGGTGTGGCCCAGGCAGACCTGACACCTGCAGTGCCCAGTCTAGTGTGGCTGGAAGCTGGGCACGTCCTTGACCACTGGGAGTGATGATCTTAAACTCTCCTGGGTCTCAGGTTGGTAAGCAGGAACTCACTCCTGCCGAGATCTCAGTTCCCTCCTCTGGAAGCCCACATCCTAGGATTTAAAAAAGTCACTGGGCATGGCCCAGGCAGGCCTGAAACCTGCAGAGCCCAGTCTAGTGTGGCTGAAAGCTGGGTGCGTCCTTGACCACTGGTAGCGGTGATCTTAAACTCTATCGGAACTCAGGCTGGTGAGCAGGAACTCATCCCCACTGGCAGCCCTGTTCCCTCCTTCAACTGCACTGTCTTGATTCTCTAGATCATCTCAATCTTAACCTTATAACTTTCTAGAAATTAAATATTGTATGTTTGCCAGTTAGATAAATGATTGTGTTCTTGAAAATCATTTTGTAATTCACCATCTTAGCTTACTTAAGGCAGATAATATCCACAAGTATAAGGATAGGATGTAGAATTTCAGAGAAATTGCTCCTGTTCCTGATAACTCTTCTAAATTCTTTTTGGTACTAACCATGTCATAAACTCCCAAAGTAAAATAAAATACAGGAGATATGATGATCATGTAGTCTTTCTCTGAACATAAGCCATATTGTTATATACTTTACAAGCCAGATTAGTCTAACCCTCAGCAATCTTTTTCATCCTTTATAAATTTTGAGTATCATTTATATTGTTTAAATATTAGTTCCAATTATGTCTTAGGAATATGACAGTAGGACTTATATGTATTCAAGGATACATCTGCCTCCTACTATAGGTGCTAAAGTATTTCTGTGGACTGCTTATTGATAAGAAATTTACTCATTGAAATGCATTTTATTACATGTTGATTTAAATGTACTACCTAGGGTTCACAATAAAATTTAATGGGACTGTCATCTAACTCTTGCTTTTCTTCAAAAGCAAGGGAGAATTCTCCACATGTCCTCCAGTCATGACCAGTTTTATATCTCATCATCACGAGGAAACCCACGTGGTCACCCTGGGATGACCTTCATGGAACTGAAGACCTGTACCACAGGGACTGTGTTAAGTTTTCATAACATCTCCTATCGGGTAAAAGGAAAGAATGGTTTTCTACTTGGTAAGAAAGCAGTGGAGAAAGAAATATTATCAAATGTGAGGTATGTGTTTAATCTTTTTAAAAGAGTACTCTGTTGACCTTACATGAATTATATAGGTTTGCATATTATTAATAATGTATCCATAATATATATATGTATATATATATATATATATATATAAAATTTCACTTTTTTGACTAAGAGTAAAGTGATAGAATGACTTTTGTTTTATCATTGAGACCTTTTGAGATCTTTTAAAAAAGTGATATATATGTATATATCATAAGATGGAGAAAAATTGTGGTCCTTATATACTATGGAGTAGTACTTTGCTATATAGAATGATAAACTTGAATCACTTTTAGGAAAATAGATATACCTTGAGACCGTGATATTAAGTGAAATGGTGAGACACACAATACTTAAATACTTATGTTTTCTCTAATATGAGAAAAAATATAAATGAAAAACATAAAAGATAGATAATATGATGTAGGATATAAATTTTGCTCCAAGGGAAAACCAATCAAGGGATGGAGGGCCAGGTGTGGACTGGAGGGAAAAAAGGCTGAAAAAAATATTGAGATGTGTTTTGTACATGCAGTGGCTCCCACAAAGAATGTAATCAGTATAATAAAAAATAAAAATTGAAAAATCAACATATGTATTTATCAACTATATATGAATGTATGTCACTTCTGGTCCATTTCAAAGGACAGAATTAAGGTTTGTATTTGTTCATGAACATATGCACACATGCATGAATATACATATAAAACTCATGAGTTCTCATTCAGTAACCAGTTCTTCTGATAATTTCCTCATTGTCAAGTTTGTCAAATCTCAAAAAAACTGACTCCTATTAGTCTTAATATGCTTAGTTATCTGCTAGGTCCATTTTCTTATTCCCTAACACAAACACTTCCCAGCCTTGGCCATCTCATTGCTTCTTCCCACCCTGTCCCTTTATAGCTCGTTTTTTTTGGGAGGTGGCAGTTGCTGCATCTCCGCACAGAACTGCATCATCTGCCCATTCAGAAAGGAAGGTGAGGGGTAAGAATTACTGAGAAAGTATTTTAATGTCAAATAACAAGTAGGGATGGTAGTAATTTTTATCCAGACAGAACATAGCTTTTTTCATTATCTTATTTCCTTCTCCTTTTCCCTCACTTCCTTCTTCTTATTTTAAAGAAAATAAAACAAAAGCAAACAAAACAGAATAAAGCTAATCAGAACAGAACAATGAAAGCAATGCAGGATTTCAAAACACGATAATAAGAAACCAACACTGAATATCATAATGTCTTTTGTTTTTCTTCAAAATAGCTGTCCATACCATATGACATAATCAAAGCAAGCAAAAAAACCAGAATATCAGTCTTAAATTATTTTTCTTGGTGTCATCTTGCAGCTATTGGATTATTTCCCGCCTCCTTGTTATTTTTTTTAAGAGATCTTTTACTTCACAGTCGCTGGCTGCAATCCTGCCTTCAAGGTCTGAAAGTCTATTCAGTCTCTTTAAAGCCATTTTGTCAGCTTTTGATGGATTTTTAATTTCCTGGATATTTCTTTTAATCCATTCCATGCATTGTAATTCCTTCCTATATTGTTCTTTTGAGGTTTCCATCATTTTCCTATGCTCCTCTTTTTAAAAAATCTATGTCTTCTTTTGATATGCTGAGCAATTCTTTCATTGTTTGTGATTTCCTTTTACCTGAGATATTATTTCTGATCTGATTGCATTTACAATCTCATGAAGTTGTTTCTTTACTTCACTTGCTGTTACCTCAGAGATTTCAGGTTATGACTTCCATTTTCTTCCATCACTGTGTCTCCCAGACTTGTTCTGTGTGGGCTGGAGATCTGTAATTGCCTTTTGCTTTGTCTTGACCTCCTCCTGGGTTCCTCCCGACAAGCTAGTTGTGGGGTTGCGGGTTCTTCCCATGTTGACTACCCCTCTGTGCTGTAGAAGACTGGGCCAGACACCTAGGTTTCTCTGGCCCTGATTACCAAGGGGGCAGTAGGGTTTGAAGTGAGCTTCTCCAGACCCACGAGGCTACACCAAGGCTTCTCCAATGGCCGTGGGTGTGTGATTATGGGGCTGCTTTTTCTTTCATTCTTATGTGGCTACTCATAGACTCCCTCAGTGGTGGCAGGTGCACAGGGTCATGTTTGTGTGATTCTCCTGGCCTGCACTGGCTGTCCACAGGAAACAAGCATCTTTGATTTTCTGTGAGTGCTCAGTGCATATCTGGCTGTTTCTCACATCCTGATCTGCATAGCAAAACCCTGTCTCAAAAAGAAGAAGGTAGGCAGGGAGAAACAACCAGACCTCCCCCTGCATTCCCTCCTTCTGATGGCTGGTTACAACACAGTCCACACTGGTTCCCTGAGGGAACCAAGTATCTGGTTGGTGGTGGGCATGCAGGGTGAGTCTGACTATTTCTTCATGCCTGCATTCTCCTCCTCCTCCTCCTCTCCCTCCTTCTCCTCCTCCTCCTCCTCCTCCTCTTTCTTCTTCTTGAGACAGTTTTGCTGTGTAGTTCAGAATGGCCTTGAACTCACTTTGTAGCCCAGGCTGGACTCAAACTCAAGGAAATCCTCCTGACTCAGCCTCCCAAGTGCTGGGATTACAGACATGTACCCCCATGCCTAGCTATTTCTTTCTTTTTGACTTCTGTTTTATATTGGACATATTTTTTTTAATTGTTTTATTAAAAGTAGTTTTCATTTAGGAAAAGAGGTTAATTTATTCAGCAAAATTTAAATACATAAGGTACCAAGGAGTGCACAAAATGAATAGTGCACAATATGTCCTCTTGTTCTTAGAAATCTTATACTGTTAATGGGCAATTTAGAAAACTCAGGCACTTCTAATGTGGTTTCTTTTTGTGGTACATGGATCAAAAGACACAGCAGAAGCCTATAACCCTGCATTGGAGGGCTGTATGCATGGAGTTCAAGTTCTGTATGCATGGAGTTCAATGTATAGAAGTGTTGAATGAGGGTAGGGAGGTGGGAAGTGCTCAACAATGGCATGGAAAGTTCTTATTCATAAAAAGACCAAAGATTAACTGTGATCTACTGGAGTGACAAAGATTCTTATGGTAACTTTCATAATGATTTTTAAATTGAAACAATCCAATTTTTCTTCTTTTTCATTATTTTCTGGGCAACTGGGGTTCTGTTTAGAGTCCTTGCCTATGCCTGAGTATTCAATACTCAGTGTGCCACATGTTTGAGGAAGGAAGGAAAGAGGGGTGGTAGTCATATGATAAGTTATTCATGGGAATTTTCCAGTGTAATTAAGAACTTCTGCAGACAAACATTATGAAGTAATAAATGAGACTGGGGACAGCTTCACAGTGGTTACAGATTGCTGGAGAGTGGATGAGGAGACCAAAGAATCATAGACTAGGATGGTGGTCAGCAAACTTTTCTCATCAAAGTCCAGGTGTTAAACAGTTTCAGCTTTTTGAGCCATATATCTGTGTCATGTCTAAATTCCATCTTTGTAGCATGAATGCCACAACAGACATAATGTGACCAAAGAGTGTGGTTCTGGTCAGCAATTCTAATGTGCTGATCCCTGGTTAGAATGCAACTCCTGGACAGGACTTCCTTCTGTTCATTTGTGGATCTAGGTGTTTTGTTCTAAGCTCTATCCTAGAAGAGTGTCTTGCATGTACACAGGAAATGCTTAGTAATTGTGTTGAATGAATGGAGGTGGAAGTGACCACTACTCCAGATTGAAACTCTCAAATTTGTGATGATTCATCATTTTTGTTTTCTGTAATTCTAGGGTGTATTGTGACAGCAAGGTGAATTCAGGAACCTTTTAAATTCTTTGACTTAACGTATTCACATTCAGCTGCTCTTTGAGTCACTCAATAGTTCTTTTTATGGTGCCAAAGTGTTAAAATTATCAGCCTCCAAGTATCTTTGCTGGCACAAACCTGCCTAGCACATCATGGGCAGTCATGAAGTACTGCACTAATGCTTATCAGAAACATTGCAGAGTCAGACATAAATTTAAGACTTATTTATTCACACAATGAATAGTAAAGCATGTTCTTTAAAAGAATTAAGATGTCCAGATATCCTTACTCTAAACAAAAGGGGATTTTGTGAGACTGAAATAAATTGCTTTTTCGATTTTTACATGTAACTTTAGTTCCAATGCTTTTTGTTCTTGGAAGTTCAACAAGGATCAGGATAACATGAAAAATGCATTCTTAAGATGCGTATACTTGCTGACCCAGTACCCTTTTCCCACATACTACCCTATGTAGAAACTCCAGCCTTCCAACCTGACTGTCATTCAGCTTTTAGACAGTTACCCACTGTCAACCTTGACAGTGTACTATAGGAGGAGTATGGTGAAAGGATAAAATAAGAAACAGAGACAAATTTAGTAATGCATGATGGGAGGCTAGGAGTCAATTCCTCAGGATAAGCAGAGACCAAGATACTCCAAACCAGTCATTATTTATCGGGTGTATACAATGTAGAAGGGCTAGCGAAAGATTCAAGGCCAAAAGAAGATTCAGAGATTGATGACTCAGTAGGTAATGGGTAATCCTGGGATGATTTAAGAGGACAGAGATGATGTTATGCTAAGAAGGATCTTATTGGTTTTAGTTTAGTTTTAGTGGGTGAGAGAGGATGGTGCATCCCAAAAGAGTTAATGGGAGGTCTCAAATAGTGATATCATAACATTAAGCCTCCATTATCCTATAGAGAAGTACACAAAATTTGCCATTATGAATTTGTTGTCCCCAATACTGTCTGAGTCAATCTGTCTTTTCTATATTCTGTGACTCAAAATTTTATACTGTCTTCATTAATAGACTTCCATATGCCAAATGCAGAGCATTGTTCTTTTGGTAAGTACATTTTTCATTAGTACATGTTTGTGAAATGTAACGAATATTTTCTGCATGGGTAGTGGGTACCTCTATATATAACTCATTTAATTCAGGATCATCTTTACTCCCTCCCCTCTTGCTTTATCTCTATGTTCCACTTTCATCTGCAAAAAGACTACATTCATGTTTGAT